AGGAACATTTCAGGATGCGACTGCTCTCTACCTCTTTCCATTATAGTAAATCCTGCAGTTTAATTACTCTTAATCCTAATTCAGAGTACGCCCAGTAGCACATTAGAGCATACAAACTACGCAAATCATGGAAAATTACAGAAAAAGATAAGCAGAAAGTAACAATCTGGAGAACTCGTGCGCAGAGCATACTTGTGGGCCCAGGAAACTTGTACCAATGCTGACCAGGCTGTGGTCACAAACTTTTAAAAACTGAGTTCTGCTGACAGCAGGGAAAAATGAGTCTCTTCTTGCTGCCTGTATTTAGAAAATAAAGAAATCTACAGCATGTAATGCTGACAGTAGAGCACCCACCAACCCTTCTATTACTCAGCATCTGTTCCTCATATTTCTTTCTTCCTGGTATCTTTCCTTCCATCATCCTCTTGCCCAACAACATAAGGATTTCTGCTAGTACAAGACTCCCGTAAGGACTGCTGCCTCTACAGGACAGGGAGAACAAGGCAAAAGTTTATTAGTACACCCACACCAAAGCAATTCTGAGACAGAGCAGCACAATGTTGGGGACAAGGCAACTACTGAAACCCCATGATACACCTACCCCTGCAAAGGAGAAAATCCTTGTGACAGTAAACGTTTCTCACTCCTTGGGACTCTGGATATTTGGATCTCTTATCTTGGGCCTTCAGCTTGTTTGTTGAAATGTTAAATCTGGCTGCTTAGGCTAGAGGCCACCTCTTGATTGCTTTCATCCCAAAGGCTGGAGCATTAGTGTGTGTTACTTGTGTGTGCATAGGTTTTCCACTGGAAAGGATCCTGACGCCAGGATCAATTATACCTGCTACATCTCTGCTCAAAAGGTCTCCCCAGTGAGTTTGCATCTGAAAAGGAGGCTTGATAATTCTTTGTCTCAGAAACTACAGTTTTAAACTTCAGCCTTTCCCACTCAAACACTTCCATCACCACACTGACTTCACTAGCAGGCTTAAAATAGAACAAGAAATTGACACAAGTTTACTTGCTGGTACCAAATGGGAAATTTCCCAGCAACAAGGAGTTGAGAGAGACAAAAAGACTGCACAGTTGTCTCTAAAATCTATGCCGCTAGCTCTTCTCATGGCAAAGGACTATTTGGATGGTTCTAGGATTGCAGATGGATGATATATTTGTCTGAAATCATCAACTCCAAACACTCTACAGTTACTTTAAAGAAAGGTAAGCAAAAGGCAATATAAACTGCTTGGTTGCAAGACAGGTTTCTTCAAAGAAAGAGCAAAGGACCAAAAATGGCAGGAATCACTGGAAATGGTCACACATAAAAGCTCTGCTCCAGAAGAGCCTGTCACAGGCCAGGTGGGTCCCTGACAATCAAGCCACACATTTCACACTCACCTGCTTCCCAGATACAGGGTATGATTACAACAAGCATGATATACCAGTGGTTTCTGGAGGATGAGAAGCAGGTCTAAGAGGTAAGTAAAGAACTAGAAGCCGCTTGGTTAGAGAAAAAAAAAAAACAGCCTGGCAGGAAACCAAAGGCAAAAATGTAGAAATGAGTTAGTGTCCCTACTGAGGTATGGAACCTGGAAACCCCAGACGGGGCCACAGAAAGCCCTTTATTTGCTCACTGAGCAGAGGTACTTTTCCTATTCAAAGGGGAAACATCTACTATGCTTCTTTTATATAGTTTATATATGTGAAAGTAGCTGGGCAAGAGTTGAGAACCTCCCCTTCCTTCACCATTCTCCTCTGAGATGGAGTTTAAGTCCAACAGCAAAGAGGAGATCCTGGTCTCCACACTTTGTTCAGACACCAAAATCTGGACTCATACAAACCAAATGATCAAAGCTTTCACAATCTACAAGCAAAATGGGGCACAGCTGTAAAGGGTGAATGTTTTGAGACTAACGCTCAAACACACCAGGAAAGAGTCATGAAAAGACCCTTGTTGCTGTTCCAGTATCCTTCTTAACAGCTGCCTCACAGCATAGGACAAAGAGTTGCAGCCCCTTCCGCTATTCCATCAGTGCAAAAGAAAAATCTTTTATTTCTACCTTTTCCTTTTCCCCAAGGAACTGCAAAACAAAAGATTAATGTTGTTCTTTACTGCCTCTTTATGACAAAGCATGCCTTGATGTTAGTTTATATATCAGAAACTCAGCTCTGATTTCCTCCTTTTTGGAGGATATGAATGAGAAGGTTACATAAGGGTGTAACGGGAGCTGTTACTTCCTTTCCCAGTTGAAGAGAAAAAGCTGTGGATCAGGTTACAGACTTAAGGGCTGACCATCACCACTGCAGCCTGCCTACATTCTGCGCCAGTATTCCCCCAACAAACAGGAGAAGCCACTCAGGAGGCTCTGAGAATGTAAGACTACGTACATCGCTATTAGGGATGGGAAAAAAAGCCTTTCTTTTTGTCTTTCATCAAACTCAATAAATTCCCCAGGCTTGACGCACACCATCACTCAAGTCACCATTTTCCATTCCAGTTTGTTCTTCATTAGCACAGTAAAAACGATGACTGAAATGTAAGGTAAGATTTATAGGGTGGTCTGACACGTTAGCTGCACTTAAATACACTTAGCAGACTGACAGAGCACTTAACTTTGGCGGGTATGTTAGCGCTTGTCCCAGCTCTGACCACATAGGGCAAGTGAAAGGAGGAAACGCAGTGTCCAGATTGGCCTACACAAGCACTAAGCTGTTCTCCAAATGATCCCACTTGTGCTTTCTTCACCTTCCTCCCAGATTCCCAAGCCACTGTTAGTACTGCTGCCGAAGGAAGATGAGATCAGACTCCAACACGAGGAATTTCTGTTCCCACAGAGCTCAGAGAAACCAGATGATCTCAGAGGATCATGTGAAGCAAGTCCATGACACTTCCATGAGGCAGAGCATCTCCAGTACATTGCCAGCAGTTTCTTAAGAGTGCACAGTGGGAAAAATTAATGGCTTTGCTTATTTTCCAATTTCTCTCTCCCACTTCCTCCTCTCATTTGCCAGACTTTTATTTTCCCTTCCCTCATTAGCACCAGTAGGCTTGCAATGTACATTTCCCTTCCAAAGGGAATCACATCTAGTCTTGCACAACTTTTGAGAGGGCCAACACACACAGCTAAACTAAACTACTTGTCCCCTGGCATTGTTTCCTCAGAGATCCTCCCCACAGACACAACTTAACAGGCCTCTTACAAAAAAGGAAAGAATAAAAGGCAAGTTTCTGTGATTGAAGATGCTTTTGGGAGTTCTTTCATCTCCACCTTGCTGAGCACTCAGTTTGTAGTGCCCACATGAAGCTTTTAAGATGTACATAAAATACATCCCCTAACACCAAGTAGGTGTTTTCAGAAACATCTTCTTTCCTGAGGACCAGAGGGAACTTGTGGTAACCTAACCTAACCAGTAAGTGCTACACGAGGGTTAACATTGACATGAGTGGTGGCCACTGTATGTTATTCTGGGAATAACAGGAACGCTCCAACCATTACACCTTCACACAGAATCAAGCCAGAGGCAGTGCACTGCTTTAAGCACTAAATTAGAGACACTCTCAAACTCAGGCAGGAACAACTGGAAACAAAAACATATGAAGAGAAGAACACCGTTACCTTTAATACATTTAAAAGCGGCCAAGCCTGAACTCTACTTTAACAGATGGGTCAGACTATTTCTGTTCACTCACACTGCGCACTTTGGGGGAAAGCCTTGTTTTTGACATCGGGTTTGACAAAGTGATGATTCATCCAGGATGGGCAGCTTGTTGCCAGCCTTAATTCACAATTAACAATAGGACAGCCGGATATGGGAAACTCATGATTCAACACAAAAACTGCAAAGTCAGCCGGTTTTCCTGACCTTTACACATTTTTCAGTGGTAATTTCTGATCGGGATATGTTTTAATTAGTTTCTCCAACATCAGAGTAGTTAGCCTTTATTTCGTTAACCTTATGCTTGTCCTTTAGGATGGCGATCTAGATTAAATACATAAAAACTGATGCAATCACACTCTCTGAAATTGCAAAGGCTTAAATTACTCAAAAAGAAAAAACAAAACACCATGTGTGTACACGGAGGTACGAGCATACGAGTACCATGGGCAAGAGAAATGCACGCTGTACCTATATGCACTTTGTGACAGCACCACCAGCCCCGCTGCCTGTGGCCCTGCCGGGATGGCCATTGTGTTGCACAAGGAGTCTGGCCGCTGCGAGGAACAAAGGGATGCCCTTCCCAAAACACAGCGGCAGCAGATGTCCTGCACCGAATCCCGGCAGCCTCAGCCTCCCTAACCGCACACAGACGGTCTTAGTTCGGAGGCCACAGCAACTGCCCCCTCAGGGAAGCTCTCTGGGACAACGACCCTGCCCTGGAAAGCCCTTCCTCAAGTCTCTCCTCCCAGAGTTACCCGACGGCAGAATTCATCATCCTGCTCCGAGCTACCAGCATTCTTCCCACGGTCCTCCCCTCTCCCCAAACCCGAGCCCGCTCTTTTGAATTAGGCAAAGCCGCGCACACACGGTAATTATTTCAGACAAGAAGAAACAGATGCCACAGTCCCTTTCTTTCCAGAAAAAGCACGCGCACACACACACACACACATCATTATTTTAAAGAGTAAGATCCGGACCATCTCTGCGTGTGTGCACACCAGCATTCATGCCTACAATAAGACGCCTGAAGCCCACAGCCATCCAGCAGATGCTGAGCGAAGCCACAGCGCCCGTACATCGTCCCAAGCCGCAGTTTGTCCCGGTAAGGGACGCCCAGGACGCGCCGAGGTTCCCGTGCTCGGCACCCGCACCCCGGCACCGCTGCCCCCTAACTGCAAAGCACGCGGCGCCGAAACCCCGTTACGCCAGGACCTCTGCAGCACCGACCCCGACCCACCCCGCGCGTCCCGTCCCGCTCCGCAGTCCCACAACCCGCCGGACCCGCAGGACAAAGGGGCCCTGTCCGGCGGTGCGGGCACAGGGGGTGGGTGCCAGGGGAGCCGTACCTGTGCCGCCCAAGGGCGCTGCCCGCCGTGCCGAGGCAACCGCCTCCCGCCCCGAGCCGCCGGCAGACGCTGCCCTGCCGAGGCGACGCGGAGCGGGGCACAGCCCCGGCCCCTCCCCGCCGCACACGGCAGGGGCGGAGGCGCCACCACCCGCCCCGGTCCCGGACTCGGCCCCGGTCCCGGCTCCGCAGCGCCGCCCGGCGGGCACCGCTCCCTGCGCCGGGGCCTGTCTGGGTGCCCCTCGGTGGAGCCCAGCCCCGCAGCCCTTCCCGGGGCCGGGGCCTGTCCCGGTCCCGGTCCCCTCCAGGCACAGTCCTCCCGTCCCGTGAGCTGTGGGGGATGCTTACCCACCTCCACGTGCGGCTTACCCCGGTGTTGGTCTTGTCGCCTGCACACTTCGCCCTCAGCCTTCAGAAACTAACCAAAGAAACTGACCCAAGTAACGAGTGATAGGGCAAGAGGAAACGGCCTCGAGCTGCACTAGGGGAGGTTTAGATTGGAGTTTAGGAACAATTTCTTCACAGGAAGGATGATCAGGCATCGGAACAGGCTGCCCGGGAAAGCGATGGAATCGCTGGAAGTGTTCAAAAACCGTGTAGCCCTTGTGACATGCTTTAGCGGTAGACTTGGCAGTTCTGGGGTAATGGCTGGACTTAGTGATCTTAAAAGGTCTTTTCCAACCTAGCTGATTCAGTGATTCTGCTTCTAACATCCCCAGCGGGATTCCTGCAAGGTCGTTTTCAGCACCTCCTGAAAACATGCCAGCATTTTAAATGTAAGCACCCAAAAGTATTTACAGCGGGTAACGCATGTTATTTGCCCAGCCCTGCCCCTGATAAGCACATAAGCCATCAACAATGTAGGGCGACTGCCCCATTGTGTAAAAAGAGGGAAAGAAAGGAAAAACCCTAAGGGCTGTGTTCATACCGTGTGGCCATTCTCTGGCTTGAAACCAGGTCTGTGGGCAAGTAAGCAGAAGTTTCTCCCCACCCCCAAAAACCTCCCCAGCTGAGACAGGGCAGTATTTAGGTTTACAGATCACACACACTTTCCAGCAAAAAACCCCCATGAAGAGTTTCACCGCATGGGCTTTTTCCTAATGAGCCAACTTCCATGTTATCTCATTGTTATTTTTTCCATGTTTGAAAGTAGGCTCTTTTCAACCTGGGTTGTTTTTAAACAACAACAAGCTTCAACTCAACTACAAGCTAACCCTGTGTTGGACAGGTAACAGCGAAGAGGATCTCAGCTGCACACACCAGAACTCTGCACAGTATGTGGAAGAAATGCAGCATACATCACCAGGTTCAATATGATCAGAAACACGCAGTGAAGATGCAAAATGCATTTTTAAAGCCCTTCTTGTTAAAACACTTTAGTTATTTCAAAGTGAATACTGATTCATAACTCATCACTATTTTATTACCTGGAAATTAGCTCCTAAGATTTGGCTCACCCTCTCATTTTTAATCTGTAAAAATAATGACTGCTTTCATTAGAAGTGGTCAAAAACTGCTTCAACAAAATACTCGCTGAAAAACTTAAGGCTTGGTTAAAACTCAGAAACAGTGACAGTGTGATGCAGGTATTCTCAGTAAAGTAATTTAGGTTTGGGGTGGTCTGGAAGAGTCAAGAACCATTCCTGAACCACACCATGACTCCATCCTTTTGCCCTGTTCTTCATTCAGGTTAACGTCACTTTGCTCGTGACTTTGCTGCTGTTCTGTGGCTTTGTTATTGCATTCTTTCCCAATTAATGAAGGGGGAAAAGTACTTTATTTTTACTTCATATCTAAATGAAAACTAAATTCCAGTTTTTGTAAGGAAAGCAGTCACTGTCCAGCCAATGCTGTTTACCAAAACCGCACCCAGAACATTAAGTAGCAACACCAGGCAGTCACTGCAAATATTGCACAAAGTATCTATTTCAACTTTACATATGAAAATTATCAAAAGTTATTGCATTGGCATGAAAATACACCATCTTCTACCTCAGAAGTTAAAATTCCCCATTCCATCCAAAGAGACACATCGGCACAGGACAAAAGCAGTGTAGCTTTCCTGCCACAGCCTTACAGCTGCGGTTCAAAAAGGGTTAATGGTGGTTACTTATCAGCCGCACTCTTTGTGCCTCTTTGGTGCTTAGATTCCCGTAAATAACAATGTCCATCTGTAACAGGTGGTGGTATTTGGTATCATTTATAACATGGATAATAGTTAGTATCCTTGTGAAGGTCCTCCAGGAAACAAACCAAAACTATCCAGAGTTCGTCCCTAGTCTTCCACCACTCTGCTCCCACCTTGTTTCAGCTCCATGTGAAAGAAGATATCTTATTACCCATCCTTATTCTGAGGCAGTTTTACGTTCTTGCTCTTAATACAATGTGAATTAGAAGCCTATCACTGGAGCACCTCCCAGACAAAGACAGTCTGAGAGAGCTGGACTTGTTCAGCCTGAAGAAGGGAAGGCTCCAGGGAGACGTTATTGCTGGCTCCCACTACCTAAAGGGGGCCTAACAAGAAATCTGGATAGGAACTTTTTACAAGGCATGTAGGTGTAGGATTTGGGGCAATGGTTTTAAACTGAAAGAAGGGTGATTTAAATTAGATTCAAGAAAGAAATTCTTCCCTCTGAGGGTGTTGAGGCACTGGAAAAGGTTGCTCAGAGAAGCTGTGTCTGCCCCATCCCTGGCAGTGTTCGAGGCCAGGTTGGACAGGGCTTGGAGCAACCTGAGCTAGTGGAAGGTGTGCCTGCCCATGGCAGGGGTTTTAAGGTCCTTTCCAACCCAAACCATTCTATGATGCTTTTTACTACATCTACTGGACTACCATAATTACCACTGGCAGAAATCCGCAGTAAACGTAAAGAAAATAATATTAAAATAAGCTAAAAGATGTACAGGCAGATACCAAGAATTCTTTTCTTCTGGAAATACCACATTTCTTAAAGCCAAATGGTGTATCAGTGTGTAAGTGATCAGGGATGATCAGTATTCAACACACATTCAGGTCTCTTTTGAACACTAGTTAACCTAGAGGATATTTAAGAGGAATTTCCAAATACTGAACCATTAAATGTGCTTTCTTTAGCACACACATACGTCATTCTGAAAGGGCAGAGGCTTCATTTGGCAGGAGCCTACAGCAATTTCAGAGAGAAAATGGGAATGTGGCTGCATCCCTGTTTCGCAGTTCCCAAATCACGGCCTCACCAGAAGCTGTGGCAGACATCCATGTCCACCAGAGCAGTTTAGGAGCTGCTTATTTACAGACAACCCCTTTTTATTTTCCTTTTCTTTTTTTCGACATTTCCACAGGGTGGACACTATCCTTTCTTGATTACAGCCTACAGCTTCACAGGCCAAGCAAGTCAGACACAAACCCAACTGTAAAACCAGCTGTTGCTAAGACTGTAAGGGCAAAACTGTGGCGTTTCATGGTCCCGTTTAGACTGACAGCCCACGAATCAAACACAAAACAGCCCTTGCATTTGTCTGTGACAGTCCCTGGCAATTAGAAGAGCACTAGTTAATGGCTAGAAGTACCTCCTAGCCAAGCTTGCCTAGAAAAGCAGGCAAAGAACAGCTGAGCCAGGCACTTCAGAGAACAAAACCAGAACTACTATGAACCATAATTTGTACTGCCTGTCAGGAACTGCAGCAAGGCAGGATAGTAATCTAGTCTCAGTAGTGTCCATGGCTCTAGGATGAAGTAGCTCACTAGAAATACAGAAACATCTGACATTACTAGATAAAATTGGATGGGAGAGAGAAGCACTCTCAAATGAATTTAGTTGGTTAAATTTAAATGCTGTAATTAAAAAATCAATACTTGAGACAAATATCCTTATCTATAACTTCAAATTAGCTTTCAACAGTTAAAATAAAAAGAGAGAGAGAAAACAAAATAAAACCAATCCTTGCTTTTCTTAATATTTCTTTCAGTCGTCAAAGATAGTTACTGATTTATGTGACTTATTATTTCATCTTGTTTGGGTATACAATTCTCATATATGGAGAGACAAACTAAGTGAGTTCAAATTATTCCTATTTATAAATGAGGAAACTGAGGCACCAAGCAAAAATAAAATAAAATTAAATTAAATAAATAAAATAAAATAAATACAGCTGTTCCTTCTCAGAGCTGAAAACACAATTTAGATGTTCACACTCCTAATCTCATACTTAGCCACCAGTCCAAGCTTAGCCATTTTTCCTACACCCAGGAAAAAGTGAGAAAATTCCATGCCCTCTGAATACGTTGCAGCTATACCTCTGTTCTAAATCAGTGGGACTGGGTGCATACCAGAAGTTATGAGAATATCCCTTACAGGAACTGTAATACTTTTCCACTTCAAGCAAAAAAAACCCAGTACTCATAACACCACCACAGGTAATCTTGCTCTAAGACCGAGCACAGGGTTTTAAAAATAGTAAGTGTCTGGCTTCTTTGTCATGGAAAACGGCTACAGGTTTGAACTCTATCTGCACCCAAGTGAATGATTCAACAAGCAAGCTGCCGTTGGTCCAGAGAATTCCAGTTCCGTGACTGGAAAACCAGAAAGCAAAGACTGTACATGAACACAGCTCATCCTTCACCCATCTGTGGCAAATTAAACTGCATGTAAGTTATAATGAACAAGCAGTGGCTCTGTACAGCCACTTGTTGGAATGCTCCTCAAGTGCTTTGGAAAGCACAGATTAAATTCAGTACTGAGATCATCTGCTTTCTCCAATGGTGGATCTTATGCAGGATTTATATTCCCACCTGTCAAAACACTGTCAGCTTTCCATTTTGCCATAATGTCTCCTCACTGTGCCAAATAGGGACTTCCCCTTTTTATCCAGGCACAGCAATATGCCTTCAGTTAGCACGGTATTTTTATCCTTTGCAGCAAAGACCTACATAAGACAGCCTGAGGGTCTAGACCTAGAATCCAAGAGGAGAGGTCACCCGTAGGAGATTTCACCCTGTGTTGTCATTAAGCACAGGACAGGATCTGAGAAGCAGCACTCACTTCTTTTCTAATTCAGGCTTGACATCAGTTTGGTGCTTGATGCAAGCTATCAGAGTTCTCCAGCCTAGCCTGTATGTTTGCATGCTAACATCCTCAGT